TGCTCCTCCTCCTCCGAATTAACCGCAACCTGGGATCTGACGCTACTCGCCACAAATCCCAACGACAAGTGGGACATCGACTGCGACAGCCTCCAGGCCTTGCTCTTCTACAGACCCGGCGGCTACCAACATATTACGGAGCGGCCACAAAGGCACAACGAGAAGGAGAAGGAACTCTTGGTGCTCGCAGCGACGTCCTTGGTCCCCTTCGCTTTATCCACGAGGGACCAAATAGGTATCAGTTTCAAACTCCCCATGCTCAGCGCGTACGTGGCCAATGACGTGGTCAAAACAATCTCGGATGGCAACACCACAACTTTGTCGCTCAGGTTCGGGCTTAAGCTTTCGGTTTGGTCTAGGTATAGGGCTCATTTGATGAGCGACCAGAAAACTCCCTTGCCCAGATTTAAGAGCTACTTTTGCGACCGGATCCAAGTTCGAGTTTCCTCTGATAATAATCATATTAATGACACCGGGAATTTGAAAATACTAACGACGGCTTATCAGTCAACGGCATGCGAGAGGGTGTGACCAGTGTGATGTTTGATTAGGATCAATTTGCAATAAGGTTTTCAGTTTTAGTATTTGTGTAATTTTCTAAGTTTAATGTTTCTATGGTCTCATCTCATCAAGGTTATTGGATCCAATCAAGAAGTTTACTGTTTACTACGCGTTACTTTAGTTTGCTATTTTAATTTCAGCCGATGTTAGATTTGATTATTGCACCCTCATTTGGATTTTAAGAAACATGTCTTTGGTTCCTTCAAGAAAAAAATGATTCAACAACCTCCCGTGGTTACACTCAATTAAAAAGTTAGCACCCTAATTTGGAATTAAAAGTATCGTGCTACATTATGAGTTATTATTTATAAAATAATAATTTACTTATCAAGTCTCTACATTTACAATCTATGCATTTCGACGGATCTAAAATGTCCAAGTAATCAAATCGTCTTTACTACTCCACATCAGCGTAAAATTTTGTTTCCCCATAATCAGTGTTTAGACGCAGGGGCGGAGGCACATGGGACCAGTGCAATCACTGGCCCCCACTCAACTTTATTTATTTATTTTTAAAATGTAATATGTATTGCTATTATTGAATAATCTATATTAATCAATATGTTTATTTTATCACGTGGGCCAACAGCCAAACAAATCCTGCTTTCCTTTCCACCAAGCTTAAGCCACTTTCCTTTCCTGTTCCCAAATGTGTATGCTCTTATTATTATATATTTACCTTTTTACAAAAACCGATACACAAACAGCAAAGCAGACTTTCTCTGCCTGTGAGTTTTTCTCTCAAACTCCATATTAAACTATCAAGTTTTAATTAGGTTAATTTATTCAATTAAAGTTTTTTTTGTAGTAGTTCTCTTTTTTATTTTTTATTTTTCTCTTTATTTATGGTTTTTTTTAGTTCGTGAAATTTTGATTTTTTTTTTTGCTTTTTATTGATTTTAATAGGTCTTTTAACCTATGGATGAATGATTGCTTCGTTGCATATATTGAGAGAGACATTTTTAATAGTATAAATGACGAGGTTGTTATGCAACGATTTCAAAATATGAAAACTCGTCAAGAACAATGATGATTGTAATGAATACACAATATGATTTTTGATGTTTTGGTATGTCTTGTGAGTTCAAATTTTTTATTGTTTATATTTTGTGAGAGGCCCCCACACACATGAAATCCTGGCTTCGCCACTGTTTAGACGGCGTCAATTGTTTTACTAGACCGTCAATTCCTTCTTCGCTCTTGTTCCTCTCTCTTCTCAAAATACATATTCAACAACCATCGAGATGATTTTGTATAGAAGAACAAGATTAATGGATAGTGCAGAGTAGAGTCGATCCCATGGACTGTGAAGCCTATACCTGGATATCTCTCTATACCCATGCAGCCAACAAGATTGCGGCTCAAAACATGGAACAGCACCAACTATAATTTGCTCCAATATAAAAAGGGTAATGTTTATATAAAACATGAGCCTATCTGGATCTCTCTATACCCTAGCATTACCCTTTTTATATAGTTTTGAAGTCAAGTATATTACTTTCTCTTTACATGCAGAACGAAACATAGTTTTCACTCTTGTGATTCCACAGTTTGGAGGACCATATATCTCTTTTCCTTTTGAAAAATAGAAGCAATTTCACTCACCACTCACCAAACGGTTTACGTTTCTTCTATTGATTTTTTGATAAAAAGGTGATAGAATTTTATTAAATTAATATGAATAATAGTACAAAAGACACATATTGTAACGAAAGCCATCCCAATAACAATATGGCAGACATGGGTAACCTCCCCAGTCCCCTAAACCCTATATATATGGAGACAATCACTTTCGAAAATAACTTTTCTATAGTGCCCTCAACCGCCATAATTTCCCTGAATCTAGTCCAATGACATTAAGGACAAAAACTAGTAGCTAACCGGCATGACTCTCTATACTAAGAACACTTAGCAAACTCAACTAAGATTCTAGAATCATAAGATAAAAAAACACATAAATTCATAGAGTTTATGGACTTTATTGAACACATTAAACCTAAATAAAAAAACTAAAACAACGCAGGCAAAAGGAAAAACCAACCGTTGCTAATCTTCCTTCGGTACATGACATAGAGAGCGACATCTAGTTACTCCAGGGCCTTAATGCACAAATGAGCAGTAGATCTACCATGACCAATCACAAGACCTCAAAGAGCAACCTTGAGATGAGGCACAACCAAAGCCAACCCAAATATGAGACAACAAATCTGCCAATGAAAAGAGTAGATTGACATAAGTCTACCAAAAGCCGAAGAACACCGAAGATCTGACGGAATCTGAGGGGAAAACCCCCTTGATCTAAATCTTTCTCTCTCTCTCTCTTAGTGGCTAGGGTTTTCAAATATGTTCAAGTTTGTACGTTCATCATTTATTTTTGAACCAATTCTGATTTAAAGTTGAGATATCTTGGACAAATTGGAGATGAATGAATATGAATTTGCTTCTATCGATTTTAGTTGGGTGTGCAGAAAAGAAAATTAAACTAACGGTGTCTTTATGGTAGAAAAGGAAAAAAAAAACTAATGATGTTAAAGTGGAGAGATCTGGACTGCTAGATTATTTGGAGGGTTAGTAACATCACAAGGTCAAACTGTCAAAAATGATAGCATAAGGAAGAAATATTATTCCACTTGGACTTTTAACATTTCGGTTAGAGTAAATTTCAACTATTTTTCTACAAGCTAAAAATACCACATTGGATTGTACAATTCTATTTTAATGAGTATTCAATTGAAAAGAAACAAGTGTTGTTAGACTAAATTATTCCAAAAAATTAAATATAAATTGGGCCTTGCGCCTTCTTACATTAATCCATTTATGAAAAGATGTAGATTTCCTACTACTAGTAGTATTTGGAAACTTATGCCCCAAAAAAGGAAGTTGTATTTGGAAACCTTTTCAGAATGGGACTCGGAATATACAACACAACCTAACCCTATATAAATGCAGGGCCGTGCGTGGTACCTTTCACACACAAAATTTGAGTATTCTTTTCATTCTAAATTTGTTCCTCTTTTGTCTGCTCTGCTTGTTCTGATCATGGCTTTGAGAAACATTGCTACTCTGGTTTTCTTTGTGATGATGGCGTTCAGTGGTGCTTATTCTAGATCTGTTTATAGAGTTGGAGATTCTGATGGGTGGACTTCGAGAGGCCTTGTTGATTACAACAAGTGGGCTTCAACGAAAGATTTTCACGTTGGCGACACTCTCATTTTTGCTTACAACAATCAATTCCACAACGTGATGCAAGTTTCTGATCAAGACTTTCAATCTTGCAATGCTACATCTGCCATCTCATCTTATAGCTCTGGTTCTGACACAATTACCCTTAAAAGGCCCGGCCATTATTACTTTCTTTGTGGTGCTCCTGGCCATTGCCAAGCCGGACAAAAGGTTGACATCAAGGTCTCTCTGCCTATTCCAGAAAATTTGATCCCAAGTCCAAGCCCATCGTCACCTTATGGATCCTCATCACCTTCCGCCTCTAATCCTGAAGAGATGTCACCAAGCTCAACTCTAAGCAGTGCTCCAGCTATTGGCTTGGCTTTTGCCACTGTTGTGTTGTTTTTTTGGGGTTTCGAATTCTAGACATGTTGTGTATTCTTTTGGGTTTTAGTTAAATAAGGTTGGGGTTGGTATACTAATTTGTCTGTGGTGCATGGATGTGCTATATATTAATGATTCCGTGGATAAATTCTATGTATGCCTATTACTAGAATTCTTCAGATATTGTTGTTTTTCTTTTGTATGTTACAATTAATCTTGAATTTGACTTCATATAATATTTTTCCAATATACTTTCCACACAAAAAAAATCACATAAATGTACATAGAAGGTTGAAGGCCACATTTTTATGTTTCGCCCCTGAATTTACTTGACTGAGAGTGGCGTCTTCCCATAATCATGTCGATGTCAATCAATGCATGACATGAGACTTGTCGATTGATATTGGACCACAATATTATTATGACAATTGCAGCCCATAAAAGGAAAGAAAATTACGAACATTATTTGTCCGGCCATAAAAGAACGATGAAGAACACCCCATATTATGTATCAATACAATTTGTTTTGTTCTAGTAGCTAGTAAGCCGTTGTTGAAATTTTTGAGAGGTGTTGGCGGATATAATATAAAATCTTAATAGATCAAACAAGTGTATTGCATGCAATGGATATGCATGGACTATCAGCAGCATAATCAGCACGAATTTCAATATCCAATCCGTTAGGGTATCGGAATTTAGGAGCAGTCACCATCTAGCTAACTCTACCTTAAGCAACTTGTTCGAACAAGATTTTCAATTTTATTTACAAAAAGATTTCTGTCTCTACCTGTAATTGCATTGATGGTTGGTTGGTTCATCTTGTTTCAGTTGCATTGATGGGTTTGGTGCTGGAGGATCAATCAAAGATTGGTAGTTCTTGAATTTTGAGTACAATGGAAGGAGGCTTGAACCATATGATCAAGACCCCATTGTTGTCATGTGAAGATGAAAAGGCCAACAAACATGGTTTAGTTGGAAGCAGTAACTCTGTTGCTGCTATGAAATGTGATTTCCTCTCCAAATTGCCTGACAAGGTTCGGTCTGGCTTCGATCCTGAGGCCCCTTTTCATCTTAACCTTTCTAAAACCACTGGCTTGATAGAAGGTAACTCAGAACTATCTCTTGGTTCTTGGTTTTATCCAATCATTACATAAGTTTTGGATTTAGATAATACCCTTAAAATTAGAGAATCTTATTTGGTGTCAGTAAGATTGAGATATTTTTGTGCTACTGAAATATGGGAGTTATTTGATTGATTATTAACTGCATTGGTCACTTGCAGTCCATTTTAAACAAAAAAGGATGGACCATTTAACTTCGAATAACGATGTTCGTAGTTGTCTGAAATATTTTAATCATGTAGTACTACTAAATATCAGAACAAATGATGGTTTGAATGTCCTCTGTAGTCTGTCTGGAAGAATCATTAAAATAAATCAAGCAATTGGATAGAGCTAATGAGGTGATCAGTTGAGTAAACTACAACTAAGTCATCGACAAAGACGGTATTGAGGTTGTGGAAAAGAAGATAAATTGTTTTCTGATTATGATTATATGTTTAAGTTTAGTGATTTTAAAAGTAAATCTGGAAGGTTTGATCATTTTCGGTTAATGAACATTCTCTAAGATGATACTTACAATATAAAACATATGTTCCTCTCTCTTAAAAATGAGTTTCTTTTTGTATTAGGGGAAAGAGAATACTATGAGAAGCAATTTGCCACCCTAAGGTCTTTTGAGGAAGTTGACTCTCTAGAATCACCCCATGTCATTGATGAAGAGGAAGATCGAAAAGAACAAGCCCAGCATGAGAGAGCAATGAACATTTCTAATTGGGCAAACATCTTTCTGCTCGCTTTTAAGGTTATATATTTTATTCCTTATGCAGCTTTGCTAGTATTCTGCAAATTAAATGGCAAGGCACTTCAGCATCTCAGCTATCCGAACTTAGTCTCAGAAAATCTGAGAAAGCAGATCTTTTATTGAACAAGAATGAGCCAACTGTTTCATAAATTTCATCCAGTTTCATGTTAGTCATTGATTGTTAAGTAAAAGCTCTTCTTGTTTTTATGCAATGCAGCTATATGCTACACCAAAGAGTGGATCCTTAGCTATTGCAGCATCAACACTAGATTCTTTGCTAGATCTTATGGCTGGTGGTATACTTTGGTTCACACACTTGTCAATGAAAAACATAAATATCTACAAGTACCCTATTGGGAAATTGAGAGTGCAACCAGTAGGCATCGTCATATTCGCAGCTGTCATGGCTACTCTTGGTATGTAATGGCCTAGCCTCTACCTTATCATAATATTAGGAAGTTGAGTGAAAATGATCCATTGTACTGTTGAAATACATATGTTTAGGCTACACAAAATATTCATTTGTGTGTTCAAAAAAGAACCCCAAAATGTTTTTTCATCAAGGGGCATATGCCTTCTGCAGATTCAATTTTCATGCCATACAAACTGAGACTAAGTAGTTTAAGTAAAATTTCAACTCCTCAAATATTACTGGAACACTGGCAACCATAATTGTATGGAGCTGAAGCATTAGAATCCTTGAAAAGGTGCTAATGGGTTTTCTTGCTTCACTTAAGTTCTGTTTTAAGGCAATCTGAAAAAATTGAAGGCATACACTATAGCCCTTTCACTCCAGTGCAGGCTTTCAAGTGCTTGTCCAGGCCCTAGAACAACTGATCAAGGACAAACCTTCTGAGAAGATGACTTCAGAAAACTTGATCTTGTTGTATGCCATCATGCTGACAGCTACTGGGGTAAAACTTGTCCTTTGGTGTTATTGCAGAAGCTCTGGAAACACAATTGTCCGCACGTACGCGAAGGTTTATACATGCAATTTACAACACATAAAACTTTATATTTGCTCCTGCTTTGTGATCTTACTGCATTACTCAAACTGATGCTTGCCAGGATCATTATTTTGATGTGGTAACAAACATAGTTGGTTTGGTTGCTGCTGTTCTTGGTGATAAATTCTGTTGGCGGATTGACCCTGTTGGGGCTATCATCCTAGCATTCTACACAATTTCCAATTGGTCCGGAACTGTGCTAGAAAATGCAGGTCTCTCTCTCTCTCTCTCTCTCTCTCTCTTCCCCACACGCACAAAAGGTTGTTCTGTGCTTTTGATTGAAAGCCATATAGAATAGATAGAGACTCGGAATAATTTTATAGCGGGGAACACTGATATACTAGTGGTTGCTTCTTCATGCAGTTTCTCTGGTTGGACAATCAGCTCCTCCTCAAATGTTGCAGAAATTGACATATCTCATCCTAAGGCACCACAGTTTAATCAGACGTGTCGATACAGTTCGTGCCTACACGTTTGGGGTTCTTTATTTCGTTGAGGTGCAATGTTTAAGTATTAAGTTCAACTTGATTTCTAGTGTTAATTTGTACACCAATCATTTCTTTTTCTCATGAAATCTAGCTGCTGCAAATCAGTTGTTGAAGGGCACCAAGATAGTAACATTTCATTTTAGAACTGCTTTTTAGTTCCTGTCCTCCCAAGTCCTTACCAGAATTTTCCTCTACAAAAACAGGTTGACATAGAACTGCCAGAAGATTTGCCTTTAAAAGAAGCTCATGCAATTGGAGAGTTATTGCAAATCAAGATCGAAGAGCTCCCAGAAGTGGAACGGGCGTTCGTTCATCTCGATTATGAATGTTACCACAAGCCAGAGCACTCTGTTCTGAGCAGGCTCCCCAGCAGCCATGCTTAATTTCGAGTTCCCCATGAAACAATGCCCTGTTGTTTTTGGTGATTGAGATATGTGTGAGAATGTGAGATACATATATGATTTAGTTTTTAGTCCTAAAATATTACCATGAAGGCTTTGTGATTTTAACACTTGTGGGGGCCTTCGCGTCCTCAAGTCGCACAAAAAAAACTTAAACCAAATTACATCATAAAAAGAATATAGAGCCCGAATTTAGGGACCCTTTATTGGGGAGATTGTAAGTCTAAATTATAATATTTAAGAGTTGTTTAGACTATCGCTTGTATAGCAAATGGATACCAAGACAAGCATAACCATAACATGTCTATTTTGTCCTTCAAATTTTAAATAAAATGAGTAATCTATCTAGAAATTATGGACAATGTGGTGATTAACCAAACACTTACCACCATTTCCTCTTTTTACTTTTTTTTTTCTTTTATAAAAAAATAAAATGAAATGACTGCATTGACTTGTAAGTTAACCAAGGAAATGATTGACCTAAAAACTAGGATTGGCATCATATACTTGTTTTTTTGTGAGAAAACGTTTTATTTTCTTTTTTAAATGGCAATAATTGAAAGAGCTTGGTTTTTACCGTAAGCGGCTCTGGTGATAAAGTAGCGGTGGTGACAGTGGAACTCCAACTTCACAATTGTTAGGGTAGGCAGAGGAATTAGGATTAGGGCTTTGCAGTGAGAGGCTCTGAGCTTGCATTCGCCGTTGAGGTTCAAAGGAGTAGTTGGGTAAGTGGATTTGGTTCTGGTCATCAGCTAAAACAAAAGAGATTTGAAAATTCCGTTGAATCAGACAAAGCCTTGAAATTCTTCTCTCTTCGTTTTCTTTCTGTACTTTTAAATTTCCAGTTCTGGGTTATTATTTGTATAATTCTTTCATGCAACAAATCTTTTTTTTAGGAAAAATTTGGTACTCACAGCGTTTGCTTCATTGGAAAATGGAGGCAAAAGAGAAAAATGTGAACACTGAGTTTCATGTTCTTGTTTTTTCTTAGGTTCTAAAACGTAAAAGGAACATTGTTTTGCTGGGCCTGGTTGTTCCAGAAAAGCTAATGATTTTTTTCTGCTTAATGCCTGAAACTAAGTTGATGTTAGCTTAGAACTTGAGTAATTAATTATCTTATTATCATTTGATATTGAATGGTTTGAGTGTTTAAGTTACAGTTTCAGGATTGACAATAGTTGGTTTCTTCTTTTTTATATGCAGGGGTTCTGATAAAAAGATTAGTGTAACCGGTTGTGATAACTAGTTGAACCAAACTACTTTTGAAATAATAGCAGAAACCCTTTCGGTTCATTTCGATTTATCAATAATTAAGCCTTTGCATCCCAAAAGGAAATTCAGTTGTTCTCTGCAATGAATTCTGTTTTCTCATCACAGTCCCTTTGCATTCCCTTACCTAGCTTCCAGTTGCTACCTTGTCTTCAAACACAACCTCATTGTACATTCTCCAACCGTGTCTGTTATCGGAATCGTTGCATCTCTCCTCTTTCTCTTTCCTTTCCTTTTATTTCGCATCGGGCTTTGCATGCTCGGCGATCATTTTGTGGTGCTACAGCTCCACCGGATGAAGGAGTAGTCTCTGTAATCAACTTCGACGATTTTGCTGAGAAAGACTGGTCCTTTCTTGATTCCGCTGATTTCAGTTCTGGACAGGATTATAACCTAAACATTGATCGCATTATATCTGCGGGAGAAATTGAAGAAACTTCAAGAGTTATGGTTTCAATTGGTTCCGAAGGATTTGTGGATCGGGTGGTTGAATCATCACCCTGCAATCTCTTGCTTGTTGTCCATGATTCACTTTTTGTGTTAGCTGGCATTAAAGAAAAATATGACAAGGTTAAGTGTTGGCAAGGAGAATTAATATATGTACCTGATAAGTGGGCACCTTTAGATGTTGTGTTCCTTTATTTCCTTCCAGCCATGCCCTTTACACTTGATGAGGCATTTGGAGCACTTGCAAGGTGTTTTTTGCCAGGTGATTTTCTTGTAGAAATGAATAATGTCATCAATTTTTCTTTTCATTCATGTCTGTGTTGTGCCACTGCTTCTCAGCCTCGATAACATGTCATTAATTGCCTCGGATTCATCCTGGCATGTTATTCAGGGCTCACCCTGAAGTTGCATCCTAGCACTGCTGTTGCATTCTGAGTTCTGGCTGTTGCTTGTATAGGTGCAAGACTGGTTATCAGCCATCCCCAAGGAAGAGAAGTTTTACAGCAACAACGACAACAATATCCAGATGTTGTAACTTCTGACTTGCCTGAGAAGAAGAAATTACAGGAAGTTGCAGCACAACATTCTTTCGAGTTAACCGACTATGTCGATGAGCCTGGTTTTTATCTTGCTGTATTAAAGTTTAGTGGGGCAAGAAGCTGATAGTTGATTCTTGAGAGTTCCTTGTGCAAGAAACAGTGGATTCAACTGAAAATTTATAGACTTGCACCTTTTTGCCTGCCTGCGTTATTTTTCTTTGGTTTAAGATTCTTATCTTTGGGCCATTTTACCCTTTTGCCAGAAACTGAGCCAATTAGCCTTTTGCTCAATTAGGCTTTTGTTCAATAATTGAACTCCCGATTAATCAAATTTGTTCACCAAATGATGTGTCAGGTACAAAAGTATTTGAAAACGCCGTTTAACCCGACTTCTCTTACCAACTCATGTGGCCTGACTTGGCTAAACATCATCAAATTAATTAAAAGAAACGAAAACGAATCATATCTTTGCAAAACCTGAACCTTCATCAAGCCTTCTTCTCTTCTCTAGACCCTACCAACAAATGGAGAGCCTCCTCCCTCAGTTTTTTTCTCCTTTGGTTGTTTCTACCCTTTGGCTTTCAATTGTGTTGTGTAGAGCCATACCATATGCCATTGGAAAAGGTGGATGCCAATGATGTCTTGAATGGTAAACAAAACCCCCAAGCCATAAAAAATTTGATGTAACAACGCAGGAACGATTTTAGTGAGCATAAAAATAAACATTGATTCTCAAAAAGTTTGCATTAAGAAATGACAAATAACTTCCTCATCATAAGCCCCATTATTTTCATCAGCCAAGAAATTTCAATTAATTAACTGACAATGTTTTAGGAGGCTCAAAATCCTAAAACAACAAGTACAACAGATGGGACTGTTTTAGCTCTGAAATACAAAAAGAAAATTTCCATACCAATAAATTCTTCATTTAATAAAAGTAAAAAAAAAAAAAAAAACCTGGCCTCTACAGAATCTTCAAACATAGTAGCACTCTCCCTCTCTATAATAGGCAAAAAAACGATGGGACAACTTGGATAACTAAAGAGAAAAAAAAAACCTATGAGCTAAAATTGGAATTTTTCAAAGGAAGATTATTGTGTGCCATATACCAGGTACCACAAACCTTCATCACCAAATAAGAAGATAGAGACTGAATTCCTGAACAGCCACCTCACACCTTCTTACAACTACATCAGAAGAATGAAAACCTTATGCCATTACTTGCTGCAAACAGGTTGTATTCTTCAATAGTAGCCTCTTTCTTATTGCCCGCATGATGATCATTCTCAACATGATCTGAACATTTTAGAGGAAAATCCCCAACAGTCTGTTCTTCCAGCGGCTTAAGATTTGAATTACATCCTGGAGGATCAGCAAGAGGCCCGCCATAATGGAATAAGGAAAAGCTATCATTACTCGTATGCAATCTGCCAGAATTATCGTCTTGTGCTCGTTCTCCACTTGCTGGTGCTTGCATTGAATACGGTCCAGATGGATCCACACACTCTGTATTAGCTTCATAAAGAGATTCTTGCACACCTGGGTTAGAAATTTGAGTCTGCTCCTCTGTATTGATGGCTGGATAAATTGGAACTGGGCCAGGGGTAAACAAGGGAGTGGGTACATGCTGCACAGGACTATACGGCATGCAGAAGCCTGAGTTTCCATTCATACCATACCCAAGAGGGCCAGCATATAGATAGTGGTTGGGATGAGGAAAAGACATCATTCCACTGGTTGGAGCAGCAGGCCATGAAACTGAACTTTGGTGATAGTAACCCATTGAAGGAGCTTGAAATAAGGGAAAGTGTACATTTTGGTTATGCATTGGAGTAAGCATGCCATGATGCTGAGAACCCACACTAATAGCAGACAAACCATTATCAAATCTCTGAGCAATATTTGTTGATGGATTCCCAAGAATGTTACTCCCTGCTCCATTCAGTGAGGGGCCACTCAGTGCCCTGCTTTCCATAGACTCCCCTCTCTTTGCATCCTGATTATTCTCCATACCATGGCACTCTGGGAATCCATTTTGAATGGATAAAGAAGTTTCTTTTCCTCCTGATTTCTGGCTGGCATCTTCTGAATCTGAAGTGGAAGAAGATTCCTGATTTCCATGATTTGACGAGGTTGTATTGCTGTCTCCCTCACTGAGGCATGATGAGCAGTTATCAGAATTAGAACTGCTGCCGACCGTGGAGTCAGAAATTCCATTTAATGCAGTGTCAATAGAATCCTGTGCTCCTGCATGAAATCCGTTCTGACAACTGACATCCATTCCTATGCTGGATTTTCTTAATTCCTTCAAATTATTATCGTCATCAACTTCACCTGGATTTACCACAATATCACCTGTACATACGTCACCAGATGACTTCATGTTTTTATCTTCAGACTTGAAAGCAGAAGACCTCAAGGTAACATCAGAGTCTGAGTTACTTCGAGGATACTTTTTCGTTGGCTCTACGGGCTCCCAAATTTTCCTGGGTTGAGGCAAATCTGTACCAGGATTGTCCCCTGAATTGACTTTGCTTTTGGGTCTTGCACAACTGTCACGCATGTGTTCTACTTGGTTATACCTGTTACCACGATAGAATTGCTTAGAAATATCTAATGCAGATTCCGACTTACTTGCAGTTTTGGTCTCCCAGCCCACTCTGGCAGCAGAAACATGGGGTTCTACCTTTGCTCTATATTCAGTATTTTTGTTACAGCTGCAAGAATGGAAGTCATATCTGTCGCTCATCCGGTTGCCGGGGGAGAGGAACTTCTCAGTAAACTTAGGACCACTATGCCGACCATTGGACTTTGGGCCATTCACTCTTAATTGCCTGTTTGATCCATTGATTCCCCTTGCGGGAGTCTCCAAATTATCACCATTACATCTCAACTCAGATCTATTAACCACCGAAGCACTATCTGAAACAGCAGCATATCGGCGCCTGTCAGACCACTTCAAAGATGCATCAAGTTGTACTTCTCTCCTAAATTTCAATCTCCGTCGAGAAAACTTAGATTGTTCAACTATAAAAGAACCCGTACCACTTTTCCCATTGATAATATCACCATCAAAACTATCATAACAAGGATCTTCAATTTTTGAAATAATATAATCATTTTGGAACTGTTCATCTGGAGTGTCAGGAGATCCAGGTCTAGACAGAATATCATCACCAGCTTCACTAACTGAATCCTTGCAGCTAATGGAACTATTAGGCTCCTCATCAGCAATTAGTGATGATGATTCTTCCTTTGAGACATCGTGAAGATCAAGAGTTTGATTTGCTTCAGAACATTTCTTATCTTTATCCTTTTCTTTCCCTTTCAACCTCTCCTTTCTTCGTAACTTTTTCTCTCTTTCTTTTGTCCTTCTCCTCTCTTTGCGTTCTTCTTCTTCACGCTTTTCTTTTTCTTCCTCTTCCAGAAGTTTCATCTGTAAAAGTACAAAGTCGTCAGAAGTGTTTCTCCTGAAACTGAAAATGGCTCTTCTGGTTTTTCTTTCTAGTATCTTATCTTTAAATATAACAAGATTTAAGACCTGCTTTTCAAGAGTAATTATATCTTTGCAAGCAACATGAACTCGTTCTTCCAGCAGCTTTAGTGCAAGACAAACAAAGATGCTATGCGCATTTTGGCGAGCTGTTCCTTCTCTAAATGCCTTTTCCACCTGAAGGAATAGCATTCACAGTCAAACATGGAATACTTAATATTAAAGTCACACAACGTGCATACTCAGAAATGTGCCAGCATTACACAAGCACATAGTGAGTAATTGCCCAGCATGGTGCAAACATATGTTTGGTGCTCAAAAGCCATAATATTTTAGCAAGGATAATGCTTCCCTCCTTGCCCATAAGGAGGAACTCCTCCTTGCTTACTAATGTGGCTCAGCCACAATTTTATACGTGTTCTCTTTTGTGAAGAATAATTAAAGTGAAAAATAAATGCACCTTTGAGAATTAAAAAAAAAAGGACAAGTGTTAGTTTGTGGTTGAGCCACAGTAGTAGGTAAGGAGGAGTTCCTCCTTATTCTGCTATGAAGATATAGCGTGCACAACTTGTGGCTAGTCAAATTCCTTTTCTTCCTCTTTCCCCGCCATAGGTTCTCCAACCTTTAAATACCATTTCCTCAATAATTAAAACAAAAGGTTTAAATAGTAATACTAGTGCACTATTTTGATTGCATTACCCTAGACACCATTCACCTCACCACAATTTGTGTCATTCCTTGCATAACAAATATAATTATCCCTCTTTACTTTCCACAATCCACAACAATGTCTACATAGACTGAATTGTATACCTAACTAAGGTTTTAGAATACCATATGGAACATGAAAGAACATATGATCACCCAAAAGGTAATCAAACAAGAAGCGGAGTTTAAAAAAACCAAAGACAAGCTTTAACACACAACAAGATCAGCAGAATGAACATGCCTGCTCCTTGAAAATAACAGTTGCAGCATCTAGAAGAAATTCTCGAGCAAGTTCAGGACTCTTCGCATGTTTTTGCGGACGGGAGCATTCTCCATCCAGCTCATTTCCATCCTTGTCCATGGAATCATCATCCTGAAGAAAAAATACATTAAATAAACATAACACATTAGTTTTAATCCCTTGAGATATAAGTCTAAATTGCCTATAATAAGCTTTTCTGGATCTTAACTACCTCTTCTTCCTCTGCCTCTTCAGCATGCTCAAAAAACCTTCTGATAGTTTCTCCTCTTGTGATTGTTACATAGCCATCTCCAACTATAAGCCTACAGTGAACACATTGTTGACCCTTCAACGCATGAGCTTTTACAGAAAGCTCAGTGCAGCGACCATCTAGTTTCCAAGCCCTCAGGGTGATAAAGCATGCACTTAAACCACCAAGATCAAGGCCATTGACCTTAACACTTCCATTCATGCCAACATTTTCAAATTCCAGAATGTCAGATTTTCCCTCGCCTGTTCCAACTGCCCATTCAAAGTGATGGTAAGTCCCAACAGTATCGGCAAAAGTATGGCGCCAGTCAGCTTGGACTGTCCCATCGGATACCTGTGATGACAGAAAATAGACATCACATCATCTGTATGTATCATCAAAAAAACACTGAATAAATAAAGTGGCCCCACTATCAAAATTTCGTATCTCACCAGTTTTGCTCTTGGATGACTTAGAGAAAACAACAACCATAACAGAAATCAGAAAAAGTC